CGGAAGCTTGTTTTGCATGTGTTTTCAGAAACTTGACTTTTCCGGAGGTTCGGAGAGCTGAATTGCGCAGAAGCTTGGCTTTACATGGACGATTTTTCTTTTTTTTTCCAAAAAATAGCAGTAAATTTGGGATGCTTAGAGATATCTATTGATTTATAATGTAAATTTTGATCTGTTTGTTTCCAAACGGACAACTTTTCCAGTTTGACCAATGTTGGTCAGTCTGCTGGCGATTCTGACGTTCGTTTCGTTTCCTGACGCGAGCACCAGTTCAGTGATTCTCCCCGCAGAAGCATTTGGCAAGGCTTTATAGCCATTTCGAGATTTCATTGGTGTGTGTGTGTGTGTTGGTGGTGCACCACCACCTCCTAGTTACACCACTACAAGTGCCGCCTAGGAGGTTAAGGGTGCATAAAACTCTGTGCAGACGTGGTGTTTTTGTTGCATATTATTAGAATTATTCGATGGTTTTGTGATAAACAGCGTTTGATACGCCTGTACAGTATCCCATGGACTCGAAGAGCGCAACAACGAGAAGAATGGAGAAATTGCCAGTGCTGCATCGATGGCGTGACATTGAATGTCGACGATGACACATACAGAGCTGCTTAAGTATTCAAGTGCTATTTTAGGGCTAAACGATGAGGGTGCTAGAATGATTCGCGGTAAGCTGCTCTCACGCTACAATACATTGGCCGTTCGGGCCCTAGTAGCAGCCGGTGCTGTTGAACGGGGACTGCCCTCGAGCCGCTCCCTACACAGCACACATTGCAAGCATTGCGCCAGTGATCCGGCATCCCCACCAACAGCTTCCCTACACGTCAACGATGTTCATGCATCGTGTTGTGGCTTCCCGAAAAACCTCAACAAAGGCCCCTCCACAGTGCTGGACCAAGGGGTTTTCGGTGATGATGCCTGCTTTATTGCACAGTATGGCAGCACACATGTTGTTGGTATGTGCTTTTTTGTTTTTTCAAGCAAAATTCGTTATTTTTGCTACGGAATCCTTCCAGATCGCGCAAAAGAAACAATTACACTATTTCGTTTTCAATCATCACATTAAATATCACGGAGGGGAAACTCGAGCCAAGAGACGGGACATTTGCATATTACAGGAAATCGTAGGGCATTTGGACATGGCGAAGGGGGTTGAGCCTCCAACTTCGCTTCCTTGTTACTCGCTCCTTCTTTCCTTTGCAAAAGTATAACTCTGAAGATGAGTAGGGCCTTGAGCAGGGCCACAGCCCACAGAAAGTGCTATAATTCTGGAAGAGAAGTATGCAAGAATAGAGGCAATGCTTCGTTCACATGTTTTGTGTTCAGCCCAGGAAAAGTAAATTCTGAGGCGGTTGATGACGTTGCATCAACAGCGGTGGGATATCATGCTTGAGGGCATACTTCTAAGAAAGTTTTTAAACTTACACCTCTGATTTACAGGAGTGGCGGATGGCGTTGGAGGCTGGCGTAATTACGGCATAGATCCATCAGAATTTTCGAGTCGTTTAATGAAACTTTGCGAGAAGATCGTCAAAAAAGGTATTTTCTTTCTTAATAGCACTGCCTCCGCATCAACAACTGTTAGGGGTTATAATAAAGCTGTGTCAGTGACTCATTTTAACAGAAATTTGAAGCAAATCTTTTTTATTTGCAAGAAATTTAATGGTTTTTTTTTTTTTTTTGATTTTACGTTTTGACAGAATTTCAAGTTAGCACAAACATCGTACATCATCATTTTTTTGCATGATCATTATTATTCACGAAAGTGTTCTTTTCCGTTTTTGATGTGCAAAATAGCTGTGTTTTGCAGAGTGAGCATCTAGTACTGTTTTGAATGCACTGCTTTTCCATTCTGCGGAAAATTTCCGAGGTGTGCGAAGAAGGATTTTCAAAGTGCAAAAAATTTTTTTGTCCCTCTCAGATGCAGATCCCATACCTAGGACCCGGGATGTAAGGTCGGAGAGGTAAAAAGGAGGTGACTACTGTTCTAGTGGTACGCGTTCTCTCACATTTTGTTATCTGAACATCTGGAAGATTCCGTCACGCTATTCATCAATTCCTCTTTTTCCCTCAATTTTAGGTGAATTTGAGCCAGCTCGGCCAGACAAACTGCTGGCACGAGCGTACGAAACGCTTGTGGAATCACCACGTGCCACTGGTTCATCGACGGCGTGTGTTCTGGTGGTGCACCATGGTACACTCTATTCGGCGAATCTCGGTGATTCCGGGTATTTGGTGATCAGGAATGGCAAAGTGGTGTATCGTAGTCGCGAGCAGACACATTATTTCAATGCTCCATATCAGCTCTCGATACTCCCAGCGGATGCAGGTATTTTTCCAATTACCGTGTGTGTGTGTGTGTTTATGTATGTGTATGTGTTTGTATGCGCGTGTGTGCGTGCTGAAACACCGTTAGGGTACTTTCGCTTTCCTGTCTAGGACATTTATAAAAAAATCAATTCCGTTGCAGAAGGCTGTAGCTTAGGACCCGGTTAATCTTTTATTTGTTTTAGACACCTCCCCCCTCCCTCCTTTCACCTTTTCCATCTTTTTGAGACGGATGTTTTTCTTCCGTAAATTTTTGGACTTAAGCCAACTTTGCTGGATGCATCTACTCCAGAAAAGCATATCCCTTTCAGAACATTGTTTGCTTCCGATTCTTGTAGCGTGGGAACGGTGGAGATGGAAGGGTGAGGCGCGAGGGGGAGGGGAAGGAGAGAAGGAAAGGAGGGGTTGTTTTATGACTTTATTTACAAGAAAAGGAACTCAGTCTTACCACAGGTAAAACATAACAGTTACTTTCATTCACTCTAATGCTTTGAACCTTTTTTTGTTTTTTTTCTTCGTTATTCTTCGCTTTTGACACAGTGAACTTTATATTCTGCTTGATGCCGAACTTACATCACATCTACTTTCTCAGTGCAGATCTTTTTGTTTCGCTGACGGTAATTCTGTGTGTGTTCACATGTCGCATAGATGGTCTGCTTTTTTCCGTTTCTTTCATCTCTGAATTTGAGTTGGATATGCTTATTGACGTTCCGTGCATTCTTGGGGGTTCGTAAATGCATTTTTTTAAAATGTTTAAGCATATGATGGCTTCATTCGTGATTCACCGGAAAAAGCGGATCTGGCATCACTGAATTTAATGACTGGTGACATCATCGTTCTCGCAACCGATGGCCTGTGGGACAATGTGTCGGAGGAGCAAATTATTCAACAGTTATCGGGTATCAAACCAGGTGATCTACAGGTAACCAGTTGCTTCTATCATTCTTAGAAAACCTTCACATTGATTGTATGGATTTCCTATGTTATCAGAGGCGTAGAGAAGATATCATCAAAAAGTAATCCTTGTTCTTCGGACAGCTTTTAGTGAGCTTTTTTTTCACAAGAGATTGAGACTTTCCACTACTATGTTTGTGTT